CTTATAATTTCAATGTGGGCAAGATGGAAACAAAACTATGACAAAAAGAAAAGATAAAATTATATATTTACGTAAAGATATGGACGATATATGTATAATATGTAAACATATAGTTTGAGTTACGTAAATATAGATATTTTTTTAGAAAAGGTTAAAGTCATAATAAAATTGTGACAATAAAAGAAGAGAAAATATGAGACCGTCTATATCCATGTCATATAACTTTACTTGATAATATGAAATATCTTTAACAGAAATAAACAACCTTATAAGAAATTGGAAAATATACACTAAATAACTTAAGACTAAAAAAAAATTAAGAAAACAACATTAGAGTAAACATTATCTATTTGTTACATGACTTTTGCCATACTACCAACTTTTCGTTTTGTCTTCTTTCTAATTCACAAATCTCTATGTATCTCTCTTTAGATTTCTCTGAATTTTGCTCGAACTCATATTTCTTTCTCATTCTCTCCCTCTCGTCGGATTTCTTCACCACCATATCTTTATTTTATTTTTTTCCCTATATCCATTTCTCGCATTCGTCGGGCATCACTACCGAGTCTCACTACCTGACCCACCACCACAACTAAGTCTCACTACAATCACAATCACCACCACCATCAATACCGAATCTGGCTAATTCTGACTCACCACCTTTATCAATATTTAGCGCCTCCACCACCATCATCAACACCAATACCATTGTTACCGCCTCTTATCCTCTTTTCCCAACTTCTCTTATTACTCCACATTCTTTATCTTCTCCGAAATTAGACCAAACCTCTCCGACAATAACTCTAGTCTATGTCTATCGCCGTTCATAATTATTAATTTGCCTCAATTGTCATATATTCATTAAATCTGTATATCACATGCTATTTTTAGAAAAACATCGTGATTCGAAGTATCTTTTTATAATTGATATGATATAACATCGTTAAGAAATTAGTTTGCTTGATTAGAAAATATGAGATAATCTATTTGTTTATATAAAGGTGACTATTTACAATCTTTTTTTATAGGATTAATAACTGATTGTATAATTTTCTTAATTTTTTTCTAATTTTAAATCTTTTTTTTATAATTAGTAACTTATAAATAAAACGTTTAGCATAATTCTAAAATATCTATCTTTATGGAAATATACATATAAATTCCTTATATATATGTATAGTTTTCTTATTATAATCATTTTATATTTTTAAAACTGTTTAAATTTATAATTTTGTTATAATTATCTTTTAAAAATAAAAGTTTTGTTTGTGAGATGGCAAAAAATCTTATGAAAATATATGTACAATTTTCTTATAATTAGCTTTTTACATTTTAAAACTATTTAAAGTTATAATTTCTTATAATTATTTTTTTACTTTATTTTTCTTAAAAAAGGAAAATTTTATTTGACACATGTCAAAATCTCAGATCGAAAAATTTGGCACATGTCACGATCTCGTGAGTTACTAATTTTGAAAATCATACTTTAATAAGATAAGATTATGTGATATGCTTAGATTCTTTTAGTAGAAAGATAAATTGAAAAATATATAAAGATATTAAAAAGTACAGATAATAACATAAACTTAAGTAAGGAAAATTTAAACTCAATTTAAATAAAGAATTAAAAAGGAGAGATTTATTTCAATAATAAAGAAATGAATTAAGGTCATCTATAGATAGTTGTCCCAAAAAAAAAAAAAAAAAAAAAAAAAGGGAAAGGCCATAAAATAAACTAAATGCCCTAATATAATAAAGCGTTATTGAGTCCAAAGTCTCAAAGATCTCGCCTACAGATGAGACTTTTCTTCTTCACTCTTTCCCTTTGTGTGATCTCCTCTAACGATTATCAATATTATTGATCGATGGATGACGAATATATGAACTACGAGGAGGAGGATGAGAATTACTCGCTGGATGATGATGAGCAGGAGGATGAGAATTACAACGAGGCAGAAGTCGATGTGCAACACGTGACCTCGACAAAATCTACGAGCCAGGTGATCACAAAAAAATCTCTAGTAGCAGCACAAAAAGAAAGTCTGGTTAGGGTTATGGAATTGTTATCGGTTAAGGAGAACCAAGCTAGGACTCTTCTTATTTATTACCAATGGAACGTTGATAAGTTGTTATCTGTGTATATTGATCAAGGCAAAGATCATATGTTTTCTTGTGCTGGTCTTACTGTTTTTGACCCTTCTTTAGTTACTTTAAAGAAGACGATGAACTGTGATGTCTGCATGGAAGATGATTTACCAAGTGATGTGATGACGAGAATGGAGTGTGGTCATAGCTTTTGCAATGATTGTTGGAAGGAACATTTTACTGTGAGGATTAATGAAGGTGAAAGCAAAAGGATTCTATGTATGGCTCATAAATGTAAAGCGATTTGCGATGAAGATGTTGTTAGGAAGCTAGTTAGTCCGGAATTAGCTGAGAAGTATGATCGTTTCCTTATTGAATCTTATGTGGAAGATAACAAGATGGTGAAGTGGTGTCCAAGTATACCGCATTGCGGGAGTGCGATACGAAAGATCGAAGATGATGACGTCGTTGAGGTTGAATGTTCATGTGGACTTCAGTTCTGTTTCAGTTGTTTGAGCGAGTCTCACTCTCCTTGCTCTTGTTTGATGTGGAAGCTATGGAAAAAGAAGTGTGTAGACGAGTCTGAGACGGTTAATTGGATAACGGTTAATACGAAGCTGTGTCCCAAATGTTACAAACCTATTTCAAAACAAGATGGTTGCAATCTCATGACTTGTAAGTGTGGGCAGCATTTTTGTTGGCTGTGTGGTGAAGCTACTGGGGCAAGTCATACTGTGCAGAGTATTGCTGGTCATAGTTGTGGTCGGTACAAAGATGACAAAGTAAGGCAAATGGAGAGAGCCAAAAGGGATTTAGACAGGTATACGCATTACCATTACCGCTACAAAGCACATACCGATTCTTTAAAGCTCGAGGATAAACTTAGGAAGAGTATCCTTGAGAAGGCAGTGTCAAATGCTGAAACCAAGGATCAACAAGTGTTTAAAGAATACAGCTGGGTTATAGATGCAGTCAACAGGTTATTCAGATCAAGAAAGATTCTTTCGTATTCTTATCCTTTCGCGCTCTACATGTTTGGTGAAGAGTTGTTTAAAGATGAGATGAGCGACGAAGAGAGAGAGATGAAGAAGAATCTGTTTGAAGATCAGCAGCAACAACTTGAAGGTAATGTTGAGAAACTTTCTAAGATTTTAGAAGAGCCTTTTGATGAGTATGATCATGAGAAAGTTGTGGATATGAAGAGACACCTCAACAATTTGAGTAATGCGGTTGATAACCTCTGCAAGAAAATGTATGAGTGCATTGAGAATGAATTACTAGGTCCAATACAATTTGGAATCCACAACATTGCACCTTACAGATCAAAGGGAATAGAACAAGCAACTGAGTTTTGTGCTGAAATATGCCAAACTTAAGATTGAGGTTCAAGCGGATCTTCGTAGAATAAGAAATTGTTTTAGTTATCGTAGTTTATCGTTTTTAGTAGCTTTTGTTTCATAAACATATTATGCAGCATAGAAGAGAAAAATATTTTAGTTATTTGCGTTATGGTTGGTTCTTGCTTGTCTCTTCTTCCTCTCATTCTATGTTAGAAAGGTCATTTTTCTTGGCTTGTCAGCCATTTGGTGGTGCAACAGGCGGTGTGGAAAGTGGCGGGTGACTAACTTTGTACCAGGGCATTGGAATGCTAGTCATCATTCTTGCAAGGCCAGTTCACATTATAGGGCAGGAGGTACAATGGTTAAAGGTCCCAACTCAAAGTCCAACAATAAAAAGGGTCTGATGTTTTCATATTGGGAAAAATTAAATTTACCCTAGTTAAAAAAAAATTATACAAATAATAGTGGTGGATTGGATCCGGATCCGAATTTTAACTATTCGAATCTTTGCCTTGTGGATATCCGACATTTTGGGTATCTGATATCTAGATTTGGATCTCGATTCATTAAATTAAAAATAAAATTTAATAAAATAGTATGATAAAAATTTTATTTAAGTTTTTAAAAATAAAATCTGATGTGTTATAAAAATAATATTACAATTAACCTAGAATATATTTTATATAAAAACCATATAATATTTTCAAGAACATATTAAAAAGTACTATTAAGTAATTACGTTATATCCATGTTTTACATTTTTTAGTAGAAGAAAAATAGAAAATATGTAAAGATAATTAAAATTACAGATAATAATAGAAATTTAAAATAAGGAAATCCTAAATTGAATAAGAAAAAAAGAAGAGAAATTTACTTCAAATTAAAATAAGGAAATAGTTAATTTCATCTAAAAAAACAACTACACTGCCCTAAGTTTTGCGTTATTGAGTCCAAAAGTAACAATTCTCTAACGATCTCGCCAGTATATGAAACTTGTCGTCTCAACTTCAAGAAAACATACTATCTCTTCGCTCTTGATCGTCTCGTAATTGTTTTGATCTGATGGATGACGAATATATGAGCTTCGAGGAGGAGGAAGACGATTATTGTTGCTCCTCCGATGATCATGATGATGAGGAGTATAACAACGCGGAAGAATCCGTTTTGCAACAACCAAGAGAACCTACGAGCCAGGTGATCACGAAGGAAGCACTTGTAGCAGCGCAGAAGGAAGTTATGGTTAGGGTTATGGAATTGTTATCGGTTAAGGAGAACCAAGCGAGGACTCTTCTTATTCATTATCAATGGAACGTTGATAAGTTGTTTTCTGTGTATATTGATCAAGGCAAAGATCTTTTGTTTTCTTGTGCTGGTCTTACTGTTTTTGACCCTTCCTTAGTTAAGTCGAAGAGGAAGAAGAAGAAGAAGAAGGAGAAGACGAGGAAGAGGAAGAAGAAGGAGAAGAAGGGGGAGGAGGAGACGAGGAAGAGGAAGAAGGCAAAAAAAACGATGAAGTGTGATATCTGCATGGAAGAGGATTTATCAAAATATGCCACGACAAGAATAGAGTGTGGTCATAGGTTTTGCAATGACTGTTGGAAGGAACATTTTACCGTGAGGATTAATGAAGGTGAGAGCAAAAGGATTAGATGTATGGCTTATAAATGCAACACGATTTGCGACGAAGATGTTGTTAGGCAACTAGTTAGCCCGGAGTTAGCTGAGAAGTTTGATCGTTTCCTCGTTGAGTCATACGTAGAAGATAACAATATGGTGAAGTGGTGTCCAAGCACACCACATTGCGGGAATGCGATACGAAAAATCAAAGATGATAGCGATGACGAGGTGGAATGTTCATGTGGACTTCAGTTCTGTTTCAGTTGTCTGAGTGAGTCTCACTCTCCTTGCTCTTGTTTGATGTGGAAGCTATGGAAAAAGAAGTGTGTAGACGAGTCTGAGACGGTTAATTGGATGACCGTTAACACGAAGCTGTGTCCCAAATGTAGCAAACCTATTCAAAAGAGAGACGGTTGCAATCACATGACTTGTAAGTGTGGTCAGTTTTTTTGCTGGCTGTGTGGTCAAGCTACTGGAGCAGAACATAGTTTTAGGAGTATCGCTGGTCATAGTTGTGGTCGGTACAAAGATGAAAAAGTGAGGCAAATGGAGAGAGCCAAAAGGGATTTAGACAGGTACACACATTACCATTACCGATACAAAGTGCACACCGATTCATTAAAGCTAGAGGATAAACTTAGGAAGAGTATCCTGAAGAAGGCACTGTTAAATTCTGAAACCAAGGATCAAGAAGAGTTTAAAGAATACAGTTGGGTTACAGATGCAGTCAACCGGTTATTCAGATCACGACGGATTCTTTCGTATTCGTATCCTTTCGCGTTCTACATGTTTGGCGAAGAGTTGTTCAAAGATGAGATGAGCGATGAAGAGAGAGATATAAAGAAGAATCTGTTTGAAGATCAGCAGCAACAACTTGAAGGTAATATTGAGAAACTTTCCAAGATTTTAGAAGAGCCTTTTGATGAGTATGGTCATGAGGAAGTAATAATTATGAAGAGTCAACTAATCAAGATGTGTGCTATGGTTGATACACTATGCAAGAAAATGTATGAGTGCATTGAAAATGACTTATTAGGTCCACTCGAATCTGGAATCCACAACATTGCACCTTACAGATCAATGGGAATAGAACAAGCTGCTAAATTTTCTGCTTCTTCGGCTTGTAGTTCAAGCGGATCTTCGTCGAATTAATTTTACTAGTTTTACTAGTTTTTTTTGTTTCATAAACAGATGATGCAGTAGAAAACTAATTTGGCTCTTTTCCTTCTTAATGCGATTGTTTTTTTGTAGTTTCATAACCATTCCTTTCTTTGATAGTGAATCCATGAAGAAAGTAAATAAACAGTATGCAGTTCTTGTTTTGAAGAAACTAATTATTGTCCTAATTATCATTTATCATTTACCACTATCATTAGTAATTACCATGTGCTCTCTAGGAGTTCTAGAGACTCACCAACAATGGGTTTTGTTTTGGTATGTATATGCGAAAGTCACAGAAAAGAGAAGATACTTTTAAATCCAAGAAAAGAATCAGAGACATTGGACTTACCTGCAAATGTCGAGCAGAGTCTTTTCTCCTGCTCTAAGTTCGTGCCACTTCTCTTCACCATCGAGATATCAAAGGGCAAAATTTCTGAAGGTGCATCAGATGTGATCCTTGGCTTTTTAGTAGCAGGACTAACCAATAATCCGTAAGCTCTATACGGACTTATCTCTGCGTTTCTTCCTTCTTGAGAAGAAATGGTTATGGGATCCTCGAGTTTTGATGTGGCGAGGACCGGGGAATTCTTGGACCTTTTCCTTATGTAGTTGAATATTGTTTCATCTGAGAATGGCCTTTCTGTTTCTGCCAGATTCATGGGAGATAACAGTTAAAGACTTTAAGCAAATGCTCTATAATGCAAAATAGAACTTCATAATGAGTGAAGAAGATGTACGCACCAGTTTTCTCTGCAAAGCTTGCATAACCCGGCTTAGTAATTTGCTGTGCGCTTTGTTTGACGTCTTTAGTATTTGTAGGTAAGTCAAAGACAGAATCATACTGAAATAGAGGATCCAGTTCAGGAGACTTGTCCACTAAGCTTTTCCTTTTCAGATTTGATTTTCCTGATGCCGGAGAGGTGGTCGGATTCAAAGTGTTCAATGAAGGAAAACACTTTGCTTTTTCACGTATGTGGTCAAAGACTGTATGTTCATTGATAATGACACAGTCATCTTCTTCCATCGTCACATAGGGTTCTTTCTCTGTAAAGATTTTTGGGTTTAAAAAAATGGTTAATGGAATACAAAGCACTCAAAAGAAAAAGCTTATGACAGATTTAAATTTGTATTGAGCATCTAACCTTCTTCTGAATCCTCATCTATGAGTTTGAAACTAGGCCTGAAGAAGATAATTGAGCAGTTGAGGAGAAAGTTGTAATCATGAAGACCTTATCTATTTATGGGACTGAGAAGAAATGTACTCACATATCATCTTTTTTATCCTTTCGGTTTGAAGGTCCAGATGTAACTGGGTTGTCATCTACTACGCAGGCAGCCACCATAGGAGGATAATAGTGAGGCAGCCTGTTTTCGCTTTTGTAGTTTATTTTGTTGTTGTTTGCCTTCTTGAGTAGAAGTGTTTCATGGAGGTCAATACCAACTACAATAGTAACAGCCCAGAAATAAACACACTTGGTTAGTGTTTCACTTACTACATGGTCATCAAGTTTTCCTACCAAACCAGAGGTGTTATTTAGAAGACTTAACTGTATTCTTCGAAGATGAGATCAGCCTTCACAGTCACCTTTGCTTGTTGATGAGGCCTTTCCAGGAGTATGGTTACGTTATATGGACTAAAAGAAGGCAACCAAGAAGAATGAAGTATTGCAAATCTTAAATAAAGTTAGACGAAGATTTGCATCGGGATAATGATGATAGAGTGATCGACAGGTAAACATACCTGGAGAAGTCCTCCATTCTGCTGCCATTAAAATATCACTGATTAGTTACATTTAACTTGAATGTCTAAAAGAGGGTTAGGTGAAACACAAGAATGTTGTAATAGAAGAAATTATGGTTTATCGTTGGTTACGTGCTCATCACCTTATTTTCTCATGAAAGTGAATACGATTCTCTTCCTCTGAACCAACAATCTGCCAGAAAAAGGATACAGATTAGTAGCTTATCTAGTTATCTTTTGTTCATGAGCGAAACACAAGACTATGCAGAGAAATGGAGATGCAGGTAGTAGAGTTAAGAGTATAAATGCAGAAAGTTAAGGTAACTAACCATGTCAGCATAATGGCGTTTTGTGGATTGGAGAGGTTGTGATAGCCGTGTCAATGTGACTGCTAATTTAGATATCCCTTGCTTCTGGCAGTCAACTTCCTGGACCTTGATTTCAACTTTTGGAGGTAGGGATGATAGAGACTCCTTGATGGTATTTCCGAAAGGATATTTTCGACCGGTAACAATCTCTATCCTTCGTGGATCAGCTTCAGAAAGAGCTTCAAATGACCTGACTCCCATTGAATGAAGTGCCTAGAAAAAGAATGTATCCAGAAAAATGTTACCAAGAAAAAACTGAAGCATTCGGAAAACATAAGGTGCAGTTAACATGCTTATAAAGAGCAGACATAGATTAAAACCTTCGCAGTAACCATTCCAATGCCAGGCAATTGTTTCAACAAATATGGACTGTCGTCCCACAGCTTTTGATAGAGTGATTTTGCCAGAAGAGTTGAGCTAATCGTTCCTTTATAATTCTTTTTGTATATAAAGTACTCTTTCATGCATCTCGCTATTCTGGATCCATTCGAGCAAATAGAGTTAGCATCCTGAGACAAAAGTGACAAAAGTTCCAATGTTCATATGCAGAGCAAAAAAGTAACTGTGATCAAGAGATAGAAGGAGTCAGGAATATAAGATTGGTGGACCTGAGTCATGGATAAATCATGCACTGAAGGATCCCCAGTCAACCAATCATTTGCAAGCACAAATAGTTTCTCTTCTCTGGTTTGGATGCGTTTTTTCCGCTTTCCTTTATTATCGTTGATGTGGAATCTGAGCCGCCCTTCTTTATCTGCATTTACATCATTTAAGGTCTTCTTCTCATTGCGTCTGAGCTGTATCCCTTCATTTTTCAAGTTAAACAAATTAGTATATTCATCAGGTAAAAAAGAGTATGTACCCAAGCACATTTGACATACAAGATATCTCTTCAGCACGACACACAATATGAAGAGCCTCATCCAAGCTATAGCCCGTTGGCGCATTAATAATGTACTTCATTGTGTCAAACTTTAGATAATACTTTGTCATCAGCCTTCCGGGCTCTACACAAAAGAACGAGTGTGCATTATAATTTGAAATTGAAGATATGAAACCATAATATTCAATACCTTCTGGTTTCAAAACAAAACCGTCTGTGTCAGTCCAGATCATCTGATATTGTGAAAGCTCATTGATCTTCTGAAGGCAAAGCTCTGGTAGGACACAGGACTAATGAGAACTCCAAAAAGGAAAAATGAGTAAACTAACTAAGTCAGTAAGGAACCTTGCAAATGCTTCTCTACTTGATCTTTCGGAATTCCTTTCTTAATAGCATAATTCTCTGGATTCTGTCCATACGAACTAAGTTAGCACTCAGCTATACCATTTATGATAATAAACAAGTTCTCCGAAAATTCATTGAGAGAGCATATGAACGTACCTTTTTCATTCTGACATACAGGTATGAGCACTTCATCCACTCAATTGCCCGTGTAATGTCAGAGATAGTAAGTTGAACTATTTCTGTGGTTAGGTGCTCTATTAAGCATGGCAGCAATCTGGAACAAAATAAACAGAAGAATATTTCTTGAAGCCAACATAGCTATTAAAGAATGTTAAAGAAAGCAAATGGTTCCAAAAAGGAAGTTTATTGGGCAATACTTACTGTGATTCAACAACCTCACATCCATTCAAGAGATTCTCATACAGATGGACCTGTAATCGTTTAATAAATTAAAAGCAGAGAACATAAGAGAAAAGTACAATTAAAGTAAGAGATTCAGCCACATAGAAAAGTTTCAGTAAACAACCGTCTCTCTTCTGGTCATAATAATAACCATTCCCGTGTCATCAAATGGAGGCCGACCAGCCCTGCCACACATCTAGAAAAGAGAGATTACTTATCTTGCTGGCAATATATTTAGAGCACATTTCAGTAGCTTGTGCAGATAATCAGACTGCAAAATAACATTAGAAAACTACACATGCTCAAATAATTTACCTGTAGTAGTGTGGAACGATCATATTCCATGTAGTGACCTTTTTCCTTGTTGCTAAAAGGAATACAAATGTCAGTAGATTACTGGATATTAATTTAAATTCCAAATAACTACTTAATGGACATATCTACTCAAAGACGTACAAATGTTGAGTTGATTTTATGACGACTGTATGTGCAGGCAGGTTGATTCCATGGGCAAGAGTGTTGGTCGTGCAGATAACCTGGATATCTCCATTAAGGAAGAGCCCTTCTACGAGGCTGCGGTCCTTTTGGCAAAGTCCACCATTGTGATAACCAACTAATTGGGACATTTTGGTACTATTCAGCTTGGAGACAATGCTGAAGCAGAGGTACAATCAACAAACTTAAAAGAGTGAAACAGACCGTACCGCCTTGGAGGATATATGATTGCATTTGTTTGTCACTGCACATTGGCGAAGCCTCCCTTAATCTTTCCAGCTGTTCTCTGCTTTTAATAAATGGATTTGAGTAACCATAGGTCATTGCAGTCTGAGCAAGCTTTTGTGCAGCCTCTTGAGCGCCTTTTCGTGTCGAGCAGAAAACTAAGGCAGATTTTCCTTTTGAGTATTGCATTAAAATGTCTGAAAATTCAAAGATTTCCTCAGCAGCGTAGTATAAGTTACAACCTAAGCAAGACAGCAATAACGGAAGAATATAATGACAAGAGAAGCTTACCATAAATATAGTTTTGAAGGCGCTGGATATGAGAAAATAAAGAAAAACAAGAGTTGGTTTAGTTTCTGTCGTGGAATATTTGACAAGAGTGGCTAAGGCTATCTAAATCCAAGATGCAGAAACTGTATACCTTTTCAAAGAGGAAGTCATTCTTGGCAGCAGCATAACCTGTACAAAAAAGACAGTAAACATTTTCTTTCAATTCATGAAAACAGGAAAGTCATCAACAGCTAACCAAATTCATCATCTTAACATTTAACCAATCAAAAAAACAAAAAAATTGACTTTTGAGATGCGACCAGTACCAAAAACTTTAGTTGTCAACTT